CCCAAAAAAAAAAAAAAAAATTTCCAAAAACAATCAGAGTGGACCCCACCCGTCACACAAAAAGACAAGATTGTAGGTCCTACATCGTAGCCAATCCTTCTATTGTTGTGGTTTGCTTGTTTCAGACTCAAATTTTTAATTTATCAACTCTCCGAAAAATATAAATTGAGGTATTCTAATTTAGTTTATGTCGAAACTCATATAAATAATGCATATTAGTTGTTTTGAATGTGTTTCCATGTTATTTTGTATTTTATTTTGCGATTAAACTAGTATGTTATTTTTATTTGGACTAAGATATTAGTATTCTAAAAAAATATATAAAAATTGAGAAATCATTATTATTTGTTAATTAAAATATTTAATAAATTTCTTTTACTGTTTTATATGTATTTTTGTGAATGTTTTGTGAATAAATTTATTGTTATTTTTATCTAGTTTAGATTATTTATTTTCTTAAAGACTAGTAATATAGTGCCCTTTTAGCGTAGTAAAATGTAGAGCCTTTTACCGTAGTATCCATGTAGTTTAAGTATCTCTTATATTGATAGATCAAACACAAACTCTGTCCAATTTACAAAAATTAATTATTTAATTTACAAAAAATATATATAAAATTATGAAACTAACATGTAAAATATTAAAATTGACACACATAAGAATTCAGGATAGCTTGGTGCTACTGGGCCTCAAATATTAGCATGCCCTTTGCCAACATTGTTGCTCTAGAATCATCCCATATTGTTGTCCGAATTTTATCAAAATCCCTTGTCAGAGTATCCATATCCGGCATATTTGGCAAATGATCAAGGTGGGGAATCTTCCTTGAATGAAACGGAACTTGGAACTCGTACACTCTTGGTCTAACGGGGGGTGGAGCATACTCCCTCGTCAAATCAGGTCCTTCATTCTCTTCCTCCTTATCACCATCCTCACGAGGGAAGGGTGTGTCGTCTCCAGAATCATCGGCATTGTTGTCATAATCACTGTTCTATTCCTTATTCTGTGCATCTGCCAGATCCCGATTTAATATGTCATCTTCGGGCAATTGAGTCAGGACAGGTGGTTCAACTTGCTCGTTTTCACTGCACAAACAACAAAATAAACATCATTATTGAAATTAATAAATACTTTTCATATAGCTGTATCACTTCACTTACAAGTCATAATGTGTTGACATTCCTTGATGGACATTATCCTGTTGGTGATGACTCCCGGATGGACCACCATGATCCAACACACCAGAACTACGCATATTCCAACTGGCCGTGGGTTCATAACTTGTAAAAGTCATATCTAGCCGGTACCCCCCGTGGAATATGTGAGCGTTAATACAAATTCAATACAACAACAATATATATATATATATATATATATATATATATATATATATATATATATATATATCAATTTAATTGTTTCTTGCTTATAATTTTTGTTGTCTATCATAAGAAATCATTTATACTTCGTCTCCGGTTAGTAAGTATTTTGTAGTTGTTTGTCAACCATTGTAAACTAGAAATGACATTTGCTAAATTCTTAACTCACACCAAAGGCAAAAACAAACAAAAAACACCTATTTAACAATTATCCAAATGTGGTGAGGCATATTCTTATTAAATTCTTATAACTAACATGCGTATGGACATAGACCATAGTATCTCCATGATTAGTTATTCAAAGATATTTGACGTTACTTAACTAAATGGAAATTTTGCTCTTCCCCTGTTTTTTCCTTTGCCATAATTCTGATACAACATTAAGTCAATAATATAAAATGAAATCCTATACTTGCTAATCTTTTTTACCTAGTTATGATCTTTTCTACACTTCCTCGCTTATTAAATTTATTATTTTTCCTCATCGTCCTTAACGAGTTGCAGTTTTAGTGAGCTTCCTCCCTCTCGGGATAATGTATTAACATTAATAAACAACAGAAAATAATTATGTACTAGAGAATTATTTTGTAAAAAAAAAAATCGTTTGAAGTATAAAATTATCATTAAAGCCTTAATCGTTCCAAATAACTTACTAGAGAAAAGAAGCTGATGTCAAACCTCCTTGAAGTTTCCAAAACTACAAAATCTATCAAAAATAAATTCTGCTTGTTGTTATTCAATGAAATTATTGGCTAGTATAATTAAGTACATAAAGAAATATCAACGTTAATATTAGTAATTAGGTTTTGCAATCTAGTCCGGACATCATAATTAGAAAAGAAAATAACATCAATAGCTAGCATTGAAAGAAACAATTTCATCTACAAATCATAACCACGTAAACACAACATCATAAGTAGAAAGAAAAGAAAAACATAAAATTCAGAATCACCCTTTTTTTTTATATCATTGATCACTTCTACAATGATAATACTTAGAACAACCTCTAAACAATAACAACAATCCAGTATAATTTCACTAGTGGAGTTTGTGGAGGGTAGTGTGTACGCATACCTTACCCCTACCCTGGAGTAGAGAGGCAGTTTCCAAATGACCATCGGTATCCTTATCTCCCAGAACTCCCCACCTTGCTCTTGGGATGACTCGAACTCACAACTTCTTAGTTGGAAGTGGAAGATGTTTACCATCAGAGCAACCCACTTGTCACTTAGAACAACCTCTATTATACGGATTTGACGGCCGCGGAAGGCAGCGTCGCAAATACGGTTCGCCGCCACCGCCGCCGTTACAAACCGGCTGATTTCTTTTCAAAGCTCCTGGAGAAATATACTTTTTTCTTTCTTCAAGAAATCTTCTACTAATATCAGACTCCATTAATATCTCCAACTCTTCGATACACTTAGCTATTGTACCATTGCATGGTGATTGGCCTGTTACGGAAGTGATTATAAATAAAAGGGAAAGAAAAAGAGTGAAGAAATAGAGGATTTTTGTGAAAATTGTAGCTTCCATTTTTGGTTTTGTGTGGATAGTATAGTCGGTTCAATTATTTTTAGCTGTCCTTATAGTGACTTTATTTTGCTTTTCATGATAGTGGAAGACACACTAAGAAGCAGAGGGACCGCACTAGTCCACCAACCAAAACCTTTTGTGAATATATATTAATTTATAAATATGGTTGTGAGCTTTGAAATATTTAAATAAATAGTTGTGAGAAATTAATTATATGCTGTATGCAGGAAAATAATAGTAATAATAATACATTTCTAAGAAAGTAGTCAAAGTTTTCATTTTTGATCAAATTTGATTAGTAAGATTTGAGATCTTAAAGATGTAGTTGAAAATCGTCATTAATCAATAATGTCATGTACAGGACGTATCATTGCAGCTTGAAGTTGAATTTTTTTTTTTTTTTTCCACTTGGTGTCCGATACTAGCATTGGGACCTGGCTAAATCCGGATTCGCGCCGGGAAGTCCCACGTTGCGAGATAAAACGCTCCCTAACAAAGGCAACCCCATACCCAGGGCTCGAGCCCAAGATCACTGGTTAAGAATGAAGAAGTACTCACCCCTCCACCACAACCCTTGTTGGTCGCTTGAAGTTGATTGAATGCATTATCGACTTGCAACGAATAAGGCAGTGTTGTGAAGAGCGTGAAGCGAGAAAAAACGACAAGCCCCTTTTCGCTTAAAGCGAGAAACGAAGCGCTCGCTTTTTTGAAGTGAAGCGGAATTTTAAAATAAATAAATAAATAAATACTGCATAGACAACACGTGTAACTGAAGCAAATGTTCAATACTTCAATGTGAAAACTAAAGAGTAGCATCAATTAAAGCACAAAATGAGCATCATATTCTTCTACAAGATTAAATGAAATGAAAAAAAATGGCCAGTAAGTATACGAAAAAAGACAGCATTTTGCTGCAATTTATCACCGAAACAGTGAAAGAAAAAAAAAAAGATGAAGAAGAGAATGAGAAAAAGAACTGAAGAGAAAAAACATTTGCCAGCATTTCGCTGCTATTTTGGGACTGAAGCAGTGAAAATAAAAGAAGAAGAAGAAGAAGAAGAAGAATGGGAGGAAGAAATCACATACCTGGGCTTGAATTTGATAAACTTTTTAAATTTTTAACGTTGGCGGCCCTTAATATGTAGAAGCGCTCGCTTCTGTCACTTTTACGCTTCTCGCTTTTTTTGCAGAAGCGCTCGCTTTATTCAATGTGCTACGCTTCACATCACAGAAGCGCCCGAGATCTCGCTTCGCGCTTTAAGCGCCGAAGCGAGCGCTTTTCACAAAACTGGAATAAGGAAAATAGCTATAGGTTGGCCACTTTTAAGTCTGCTTTCGATACTATTGTAGTTTCAGATAGACATTCTAACTCAACTCAACAAAAATGTGTTTCTTATTGCATGCATGTCATGGCATTCCTCGAAAATTTGAAACAAATTTTGCATTTTTATTGTAGCTAAAATAAAAGTGATCGCATATATTTAAAAAAAAAGGGTTGCTCGGTGCACTAAACTCCTGCTATGTACAGGGTCTGAGGAAGGGTCGGACTACAATGGTCTATTGTACATAGTCTTACCCTGTATTTCTACAAAAGTTTATTTTCACGGCTCGAACAAGTGATCACATATGATTAGTATAATGTGAAACCATCATCATATGAGACATGCCATCCTTGCCTACAAGGTGGAGCATTTTCATCAATACTCAGCACAACAGCTCCATCTCTTTTTCCAATTTTTTCTTCCTGTATTTGGCCTCTTATCCTTGTCGTTCCACTTATAGACGATTACTCCAGATCCGTCGCTCCATTCTCGATCGATTCCCTGGTGAGGCGGAGCCAGAGAAAATAGTCTTGTTATCTCATGTTGGTGCTCAAAAGCAAACATCCATATGGATAAGATGATCAAAGTTTGAATAGCAGCAAAAGAAATTAACGAATAGAAGCTAGAAAGTCAAGTGACTCTAATCATGCGTCAATCTCATACAAATAATTAATTTGATCCTGTGTGATAAGGTCTGCATACACACTAGTCTCCCAGACCTCACTTGTGGGATTATACTGGTTTATGGTTGTTGTTATCCTTTGTGATAAGGACAAGAGTCACTGATCTATACCATTCAGAGAAAATGACATGACATCATGACAACTCAACTAATTCACCTAAACCTTGTATCTATGTTGCTCGAACTCTCCAAAACGCAGCCGCACCTGTCTCGAATCCTCCAAAAGTAAACCACTTGGACACGCATCCGGCGGTATTTCTAATAGTGCAAGCAAAATATACATAGCTCCACAACTTAAAGATAAATGACAAGACATCGTGGTAATTCAAACAATGGTATTTACCTAAACCTATGGCTATAGCTCAGAGAGTGGCATTCTAGACATCCAAATGTACGACACACCTATATTGCTCGTACTCTTTAAAAATACCGCCGGTTGCGTCAGATCCTCCGAAAGTAGTGCGTTTTTGGAGGTTCGAACACGGTTGCAGCAGCATTTTTGAGAGTATGAGCAATATAGCGGCAGACTACCCCTGGAAACTCCCATGCTCCTATTTGTCCCTAAACCTATTCTCTCTATCTATGTTCGTTCCTCTTTCTTCTTCACATGCATTTCCAGTTTTCTCTAATAACCTCAATCACTTCAAAGTTCTCTTTTCAGCTTCTGGCATACAAAATTGCAGCAGATTCAACACAATTTTTTTCCTCCATATGACAACATGTTACTAGACGCTATACAACCCAGACGTTTTATCCTTCTTTGACTTGCTCTTCTATAACTTATATGTTGGTCGGAAATGGTATCTTGTGCACTTCTAATAATGTACAAAGAAATATCTGAATACTAGGAGTAGTTGCCTGAACACTCTGCCTCATGATTATTAATTTTGTTTAAGATTATCCCCTTTTTTCTATATATTCCAGATTCATCCACTTAACACTTCACTTATTCCATTTTCAAATGAAAGAGGCAACAGAGGGATAAGACGGGCTTCTTACTGAGGCGAGCGAGGTTCATTGATTCTTTAAAATATATACTTTGAAGAAGTATTAGCAAAATCAATGCGACAGACTAAAAACTTCTTTTACTAGAAGATCTTAGGACTTCTTATGCTGCTCAATTTCCCCATAAATATGCAGAGCCATAACCAGCTATGGCTACTATGCTGCTTGGACCCTCTAAAATATTGCCGCACCCATGTCGGATCCTCCGATATTTTCGAACGTTGGAAGATCCGACATACATGAGACAACATTTTTGAAGAGCTTGAGAAATACAGGTAACCAGATAACTTTTTTCCATTTTGGGAAGAAAAATAAAATAAAGTGAATCGAGCACCTAATTGGTAACTAGAAACTTCTGATTAGACACATATTTAAGTTGGCGATGCGACACAAAAACAAGGGAAGAAGATGCAATAATCATGCTAATGGTGTGGAATATTTCCCAAGGACAATCCCCTACTCAAAAAGGGAGCCTTGGCGTAACTAGTAAAGTTACTGCCACGTGATCAGGAGGTAACCGGTTCGAGCTCTGTAAACAATCTCTTGCATAAATGCAGGGTATAACTGCATACAATTGAATATTGTGGTCCGGACTCTTCTCCGGACCACATACATAACAGGAGCTTAGTATACCGGACTGCTCTTTTTACAAACCCATCCTCTAGATGTAACGAAGGCAACACTAATTTGAAAGGATTATTTTGAGCAATCACTTTATGTGCCCTATTATTAAAGGACAAAATGATTAATTCAGACAAAAGTGAAGTTCCAAAGCATGCCATCAAATCACCAATCCAAGGTTATTTACATGAAAGTCAAAAATTGATCAACTCTTACAACTTAAGCTTCCGATAATGGAAGTACTTGTTATTCAGCTATTTTCTAACCATTTTAATTCCCTACCAAGAAACATAACTAATACTACTTCCGTTTTAATTTAGATGAGATAGTTTGACTCGGCACGGATTTTAAGAAATGAAAAGAAGACTTTTGAAACTTATGGTATTAAAAGCTTAAGGGGTGAAAGTTTTGTGGTACCATGACTTTTGTGTGGTTATAAAAACTTTTTATTAAGGATAAAAATGGGTAAAATAAAGAGTTTAAAGTTTAATTATTTCTAAATTTAGAAATGTGTCATTTATTTTGAAACGGACTAAAAAGGAAAGTATCTCATCTAATTTGGAACGGTTGAAGTAACACTTATATTCTTTATATAGAGAAGATAGAAACAAAGGGAACAGCAAAATCAAGAATTGGGAGATGATTACTACCATTAGTGCGGCCGTGGAAAAAGCAGGCAATAGGGGAATTATCTTTGTCTTGATAAAGAGTATTGCACCTCAAACATTTCTTCTTATTTTGGGAATTCACAATTTGCAGTCTTTTTCCAGCTCCTCTTTCTAAAGATGGTTTTCTCCAGCAAGAAATATTTGAAGAATTGGGGAACAATATATATTGGGAAAGAAGATTTCTTTAAACCAAAGTCATTAGAAGACATGAAGAAACGGTAAGCAGCTGCTCACCGAAAGCTCGAAGGTTCACTGAACTGATATCAGTGGCTAATAGCCTAATACATTTGGTATTTAATTTCCGTTTGTTCTTGAAATTAGGCAACTTTGTTGCGTTGTATATTTGGTAATGTGAAGATCTTTTATATTGTGCCCGATCGTAATCTAACTTATGAGAATCATATATAGCTTAAAAGGTGTTGACCTTAATTACAAGATATACTTAAAATGCAAGTGTATTTTCCCCAATTTAGGTTATGTGAATAGCGAATAAACCTGTTTAACAGGCTTAACAGGCGGGGTTGACCTGTTTTCGGCCTGGCCCGGACCGATAGTTAAAGGGCCATGTGGGCTGGGTTAGGGGTTAGGGGTTAGGGGTTGGTCCGTATAAAAAATATTTTTGATTAATCGGATCGGTCGAAACCGGTATAAGAAAATAGTCGTTGAACCGGTTAACCGGACCGGCCCGGACCAGTTCAACAGCTATTTCTGAATTTTTGTTTTTAATAGATTTGACCGTTGGCAACGGTCAGCTTCAAATTCCACCGTTGCCCAACAAAATTATTGCAAGAATGGCCTCCTTTTTGGTCATTTTTTTAAAAAATAACACTTTTAGTAATTACTAATTTAGCCCTTTGAAAAACTATAAATACACCCCCTCTTCTTCATTTCTTCACTCATCTCTCATTTCTCAAACTCAAATCTCAATTGTCATTCTCTCATTCTTCACCTAAATCGCAATCTAGTATTTGGCTCTCATTTTTTTTGGAATTTAATTTATCGTATTATTTGAAGTTGAAGTTTGAACTTTGAACAATTGACGTTTCTTCGTGGTAACATTGGAGTTGCGAAAATCATCAAGTGTTCAATTTATTGCGGAATTTAGTGCACTCCCTCCAAGAATTTAACACTCCAAAAGACGGCCAAGAAGTTCATATTGATTATGAAGAACTTACTAAGGCAATGCAAAACCTTTGAAGTTCTAGATTTGTATTTAATAATTAAACATTGAATTTACTCTTTTTTCGTTAATTTAGTTGTTGTTAAATATAAACTTTAATTTGCAAATAATAAAAAAAGAAAGTGCAATTTTTTTCCATCTTCATTGTATTATATTATCTTAAATTCTTAATGAAATATTCAAATATAAGAATTTTAAAGTCTTTGCATCTTTTATTCAAACACTCTTTTTATAAAATTATTTTTTTTGTTTTATATTTTTACTTTAGTTATACAAAATAAATATATATATACCCAGCCCAGCCCGACCCTTAGGCCCGGAACCGTTCCGATTCAATTTTTGATCGAATGGGGACGGGCCCGTTAAGCCCGATTTGTTAAACCCGAAACCTGATCCTGATTATGACCGGCCGGTCACTATTTTTCTCGACCCGGACCGGCCGGCCCATCCGTTTGTCACCTTTAGCGAAGTCCTTTTTAGTTGTAGTTAATCAATTAATGCCTCGAGTATGTTTCCATTAGTGGAAGCTTGGCTAAAGTTTTATTAACTATAACAAGATCTAGGACATGATGCTATTTAAAATGTAGACTTTTTCACTTAATTTTTTAAAATTTAGGCAATTCTTCATTTAATTTGTTTGGCAAAGTATTAATAAATTAATTAATGCTTGGATGGCTTTGGATTCTTTGACAAATAGTAGTAGTCAACAAATTTAAAAACAATATCCAATATTTTTCTAAAATATCCTTTTCTTTTGTCAAGTTCGGACTATGTATGGATGTTGAATATAAAATGCGAGAAAGATTAATGATTAGAAGTGAACAACCTAAATTTGGAAAATAATGCTCCAAAATTTTTGGGATATTATTACTTTTAGCCCGCGACAGAAACTATTTACATCTGATAGTCGAAAAGTGTATAAAATTTGTATAATTTTTATATATTATATACCGAATGTTTTGGGTGCTTTTTCGGTCTTTGACAAATAACTACTCAACAAATTTGACAAATAATGCTCCAATATTTTTCTAGGAAAACTCATTATTCAAAGTGAAAACTATCGTTCTCATTTAATATTTAAAATTAAAAATGTTGCACTTAAAATTTCGTAATTTGGTTTTTTACTTTCCAATCCAATGCAATCCAACGTCGGCAGTTCCTATATTTCTACATCAAGTTTTTTTACGATAATATTGTTTTGTTAAATACTTTCTAACTTTTAGTAAATGATTACTGCTAGCTAGGTACACTATGACATATTATGGGAGTTGAGGTGTCGAAATATTAGGACACGCTGTCATTGTCACGGCATAAAAATATCTTCTTCCTTTTCTTTTGTTCCTTTTTTCCTAAAGCATTTTGTGGAGCCAATACCTAGGATTAAGTGAGAAGTAGGAAAAATACATAAATTTCATACTAAATATTTTTACAAAAAAATTATTTACACGCTTTAACTTTGGAGGATTCCTTTACCCCTATTCTTGTTTAGGTCATATACATTATCAGAGGCGGACCTATACTTAGGGAATATGGGTTACCGGACTCCGTTAACTTTATAATTTTTTGAATATATAAGTGTATATATATATATATATATTAAAAACGATCATATATTTTCTTTAAAACACTTAAAAATCAAAAGTCCAACGGGGCCACTGGTTGAGCAGTCATGTGCCCATTTCCTTTAAATATGGGGTTCGCCTTTGTCCATTACTCTCCTAAAAATGAAGAATTAATCCCGTGGTGGCCAATGTTTTACACGGACCGCCACATCAGATGCATCTTAATTTAATTTTATTTATTTCTTTATTATTTTGTAGCTCTTTTTTCAATTTTATCTTTTCTTTGATAAACCCCTAAATATGATCCCATAAATTTGAATCTTCAATTCACCTAAGAAAAGTGATGGTAACTCCTTTAAAAAATACAAGAAGTGTATCTAAGAAATATTTTTATTTTAATATAGGCTAATAGTGGGAGTAGTTAGCGCTACTTAAATATTCAACTAAATAGTTTAATATTCTTGAAAATACTATAAAAGAAAAATGTCTCGCAAAGCTACACTTGAGAGATATAATCAAATTAATCACTAACCTTATCACCATATATTTCTTCTTAATTTGTCAAATATCATTTGAGATCTACTGTGGATCTAGAGGGAAATCATGTGAAAATCTCAACCTAAACATTAAAATATTTAAATTATATAGATGGACAATATAAACATTTTTATTTTATTAATACATTTAATTTGTTAAATAAAGTTACCTTTTATATCTTTAGTGCTATCAATTAATGTTTGTTTAGAAAGTTATCTGCAAATGCCTTTTAAGTAATTCAAATGGAGTTTAATCTTTTCTGCGTTGCACATATAATTTATACTCTTAAACAAATTCCGTATTCCAACAAAAATGATCTCATTGTCAAAAACCTATGCGTACTCCACCCTCCCTCATATTATTTAAGTGGAGAGGATTTTATATATTAATTTAATTGTGGAGTTAATCCATTTGTCTAAATCTCGATGTTACATCTGGTAGTGTTAATGTAATATTAAACTACGAAACTACGAATGCAATGAGTAGGACATTTATCAATAATGACGACTATCCATCAAGGCATATAGAGTGTGTCCCATGATTTATTTATTTTTAATACTTTAAAAACAAAAAATAAAGATTAAAAAAATGAAATATTACATAATACACATTAAAGCTGTATCTGTTCCAAAGCAAAAGATGTGAAAGAATTTATTTATCAATTTAGTATCCTAATATAAGTATGAAGGGCGGAGCCAGGGTGGCGGAAGAGGATTCCGGATTCCTTTTATCAAAAAATTACATTATGTATGGTTAAAAGTTATATAAGCACGATACTATAAGCTATTGAATGCCCTTAATTTCTTCGTGTGTTTTTTTTGGGAGAATTTCTTTGATAAAAATTTTGTTTTCGTCACTAAATGAAGTACATAATAACACTAAATGCTTAATTATAATTCAACAACACATTGCAATAAATCTATATTTTGTCTCCAAGTTTTTGGACCAAATAGTAAGTTTTAAATAAAACACATACTAAGAGTTGAGATTAGTCTGGGCAACATAGTGCCTATGCAGTCTCTTTCATAAGGAAAACAAAGACATCATTGTTGAGTTATGAGAAATTTTACATATTTATTGTGTAATTGTTCAGATAAAAGAAAATTTTGTTCTTGGTCTCAAATATATAGTTTGTTGGAAATCATGGGCAAAAGAAACAAGGAGAGTTATGAAATCTACATCATAATTCTTGCTCTCTAAAGATGTAAACCTTCAAAATCTCAATAAAGTTAGAATTCATATTCATTAGGATCATGGCTATTCCTAGTTTTATATCGGAAAAAGGACCAAAAGTGCCCCTAACCTATTTGATTTTGTTTAAAAATACCTCTTTTTCATCAATTTAGTTAAAACTGCTCTCACCGTTAAATTTATTAATTTATTATTTGGTATCCTATCTCTTTTCCTGTTCATTTTCCCCACCTTATTCACCGCCGATGAACTATGAAGCTAATTTACTCGCATGATTTCAATTAACTTAAAAAAGCTATATGGTGTTACAACAAATATAACTTTGGCAGAAAGATAACTTATTGAGCCCTAAAATCTTAAAATGAACCATTATTTTAATTCCAAAAAATATCAGATTTCATTCAAAAGTTGATTTTACAAAAAAATATTAATTTAAAAATTAAATTAAGGCCGAAAAAACTGAGTGGGAGAGGGATATGGGTGTTGAAGGATGAAGATCTAAAAGTTGAAGCCGAAGGTAGTCCGATGATTAGAGAAAATATGGAGTGGGAGTTACTGGCAGGGATGGAAGAGGAGAAGTTGAGAGGTGAATTTACGGAATTTTAAAAGGGGGGCCATGGGTCAGGTATGGATGTACTTTGGCCATGGAGGATGATTAGAGGAAATTTGGAGTGGGAGTTACTAGCAGGATGGAAGAGGAGAAGTTGAGAGGTGGAGTTAGGGAATTTTAAAAGGGGGGCCATGGGTCAGGTATGGATGTTGGGTGAGGTTTTAATTTAAGTGTCACGACCCAAAACTTAGCCTATTGTGATGGCGCCTAACGTGGTATTAGGCAAGCCGATATTTCAAAATATTTCCAACACTTTTAATTAAAAAATGAGCTAAAGCAGTTTAAATAATTAAAGCTCTCATAAACTGAATAGAAAATGAAAACTCAACACGGAAGTTCCCAAAATCAAGGTGTCACTGAGTACATGAG